TATTAAGTCTGATATGCTAGGATATGGTTTGAAGGTTTTCATGACTGGTCTGATCAATCATGTTGTCAGCACTAACCTTCAGTGATTGATTAAAAAGCAGAACTCATCAAAAGTGATTCACTATGAAGAGATTATGATCTGACTATTTTACTGAAGTGATATATTATTAATAGTTGACAATCATTCTTTTTTTAATATATACAGTAAAAGATTTCTGTTGTTTTCAAATTTAAATAAAAAATAGTAAAACTTGTCCAACTTTTCCTTTTTCATTATTATGATGACAATAGGAACCTTAAAAGTGACAAGACAATTATTTAAACTGTAATGTGACTGAGCATTAATTATATATACCACAGTACAGTGAAGGTTTATCAGTTTTGTTTCTGATGACATTAGCACTTGTAGTGACATCTCAAAGCTCAGTAAAAGCTAATACTTGTGTACTAGCAGCCTGTTTTTCTAACTAATATGGATCTGATTATGTGAAAAAAATGTCTTATTAAAATTTTACAAGAAAAATACAAAAGGACGAAATACAGCAGTTATGCTTCTTTTGGATACAGTGTTCTCTTCAACAAGAAAGTCCTCATTATGCTAAAATAATGTGTCAGTACCTACAGAAATAGTAACATTCCAAAAGCTCCCATTGGTATCAATGGAAGAAGGCTTAATGAAGATAGAAGATGGTATTTCAGTTTGCGACCTCCTTTGTCTTCGTTTGTTTGCTTCTGAAGGGACAATTTCTTATCTGCTGTTGGTGGAAGTAAGGACTGAGATCACAGCAAATGAAATAACCAGAAATATTTATAATTTTTCTCTCCATCTGTTTAATTTATCATAGTGAGATCTACATATCAGTGAAAGTAATCTTGCCACTGATTTCAGAAAGCAGTGTATCTGAAATGTTTTGCATTAAATAATGACTTGTTGTATAATCAGATTTATTCTTTCCTTGGGGGTCTCAATTTATTAGTTTTTTTTTTTTCTGCCAGTGTAAACCTTACATCCAATGACAGCAGCAATGGCAAATGTATTGAATAAGACTATGAAAATTGGCAGAAATATGCAGATGCAATTAAATTACTTTCATCTCTTTAAAATAAAATCGGATTCAATATTAGATTGTCAGTTTGTACAAACAGTTTCCAGTATTAAAAAATTTACTCCAGTCTTAATCCATAGATATGATCCAAATAAACTTAAGTAAATAGACTTCAGGTAGCTTTGGATCAAATCCTCATTGCTTTATATAAAGTTCTAGACATAGTTATCTCCAAAAAAGAATATAAGAATTAAATTCCAGCTCACCTCAGAATATAGTAAATTTATTTTCTCTAATTTATGAAACTTCATGCCATTGTAGAAGGTGCCATCTTTCTTCTGAAGAATGGGCATAGATTTTTAAGCCAAATATTTATTCCCAGCGGTGCCAGCACAAAATCTCTTTCATATATATATATATATCTTAGCTGAATTTATCACATACAGGAATTAACTGACATGACCAAAAGCAGAATTCAATCTTGAGAAAAAGTTTGTGGTGGCTTCCTCACTGAAAGAATCAAAGCAGAATGCTAAATTGTTGTTCTCCTGTTTCCTTCTCAGCATTTATAACTGTTTACTCTGAGATATATTTTACCATTTTAGAAGGCTAGCATGGTATCAGAAACTACAGAATGTCGAATGATAAGCTTATAGAAAAAAGACTTTGGCCATATAGTTTATGAGTAGTCTCTTTGAATAGATCGAGAATAGTAGCTAAATGTTGGAAATTGCTGTGAGAGATATTTTTTTTTAATAATAATAGTGAGAGTTTATTGTAAGAATGAAAACTCTTAAATTTCATTTCAGTTCTGAAATAGTGTACCCTGTATAGATATATATATATGTGCTTAAATATATATGTGAGCAGATATATATAAATAAACATATGCAAGACATCAGGGTAGGAAGAGAAGACAAGAAAACAAATGTGAGTGATCGTTGCCCCATTAAGTTACTTATAGTTTTATTGATGTTCTGCAGTCAGACTAAGATATTTTTCTTCCGGAGTAGCTAGGAGTTTTCCTGAAGACTGCAATGAGACAAAAATATAATCTGTGCATTTTGCATTATATCTGTATGGTCTTACTATGTCTATATATGATCTATTATATATATATGTATAGTGATAAGTGAAACATTACGCAGACATGGACAATTTCAGCAGCTTCGCAGGGAGATTGAGTGCCAGGGTTTCACAGTGCTTGTTAGGCTTGTGTTTGAACATTGACAGGTCTCTAGGCCACAGGAATCTGCTCTCCAGACCTGTCCTAGTTATGGCCATTTTCAGATGTGGGTAGTCTAGTTCTACCTCCTGCCATACTTCCCTTCGTCTTCCAAATCTTGTTCTGACAGTACAGTGCTGACGCTAGGAGCTGCTAATACAGGAGGACCTTGTCAAACCACTGGAGTGAGGAGCCTATCTCACCCATATGAGTTCTGCATGGCTGCATTTGAATCTTTTGCTGGTACAAAACTTGGGCCTAAACCTCTCTTACTGGACTTTTGTTGCTCATTCAAGTTTGTTTTCCAGTTGTCTTCTGCATGCTTTCATACTTTACTTTTAGAGCTGTAACAGCTTCTAGGAAGTAGATGAAGGAGAACTCCAGCCATGGAATTGTAGAATCATTAAGGTTGGAAAACACCACTAAGATCTAGTCCAACCATGAACTCATCCCCACCATGCCCACTGACCACGTCCCTCAGTGCCACATCCACACATTTCTTGATCACCTCCAGGGATGGTGACCCCACCACCTCACTGGGCAGCCTGTGCCACTGCCTCCCCACTCTTTATGAAATGTTCTTCCTAATACCGAGTCTGAACCTTCATATGCTTAGTGGCCATGGGAGAGGCTAAAAAGGGCAGGAGATGCACTGAAAACTGGGATTATCCTGAGGAGTTAAAGTTGCCTGGCATCAGCAAGTCTTAAATGCCCTGAATGGATGGAGAACAGTAAGAGCAAGGTTTTGGAGGGAAGAAGAAAAGGGTCAGATGCCTTGGCACATGGTGAAGGGAGAAAGATTGGAGGGAATGAAAGAGACTTGCAAAGTGATACAGCCTGTGCAGAGAAACTTCAGAAATACATTTCCTGTACTCATGAGATTTAAGAGTTCAAAACAAGCCTTTAAGTATGACTTTGCCAAGGAAGTTGGTGACCCATTTTAACTGAAATGGAAACAGGACAATTCCAGACAATATATTAATAAAATTGTTGGATGACTGAACTCAAGTAATTTTTCATTTCACTACGGGAGGGAACAAGGGCAAATGAAATTAAAAACAAAATTATCAAGAAGACCAACACTACAAAAACGATTTCTTCACATATCATATTGCCATCTGAAAATTATTACTTTTTGTGTTGCTGTTAAATGTTCAATTTTGTAGAGATCAGTACAGCTTCTTCAATTTGTAGTATTCAAAAATAATAATATAAAAAGATACTGAAAGAAAGATTAATTTATCTGCAATTTAATTGAAATATGTTCCTCTGGCGGATGGCTATGTTGGAACAGAATTAGAGTATGCTCTAAGAAATGACATAGTGGAAAAAATGAAATGAAATTCATATACTGAATTTCATGTGCAAGTAAAAAATGTCTAGCAAATATTTGCTTCGAAGAGACCAGTTGCAAAGAATAGCAAGGAAAGGAAATGTGCTGTAATACAGTATCTTTAAAAAAAAAATAAATCTGAGCTATAATTAAGCAGTGTCAGACTTCTTATTAATACTTCTGAAACCTTATGAGTTCTAATGTATCAGTGAGGAGATGTGTTGAGTGCTATATGCTTCTAGAATGTACTGTTTGTGTACTTTGTGGAAATCCATAGAAGCCTTTAGGTGAACTGTTCTATGTATGTAAATAGCTATCTGATGTTAATAAAACTATTTGTAAAGTTAATCTGATGTCTTATACGGTGGAGGTTTTTTGGGGGGTTGTTCTTTTAAGATGCATACAGCCAAATGCTGAGTACGTTCTCTGACTTTCTATTCAGTCACTGCCCTACTTCACCTTTCTGTATTATTCTCTTGAAGTCTCCCAGGTATCCTTAGCTGTTTGATTATATATCATCTATCTAATGGAAATTTTACTTAGTTTGTTGCTGGAATATTTGATTTTCTTGTTTTAGCAGTTGCCTTTAAAATGAGATTGTTTCCCTGTTCAAGACTGTATAGAGTATCAGAAAATAGCATTTTATTCTCACTTCTTCTGTTGGGTAGGTTTATAGACATCTTTGTAAAGGGTAAGACATATATTACATTTGTAAGAGAATTTAACTTGTAAGTGATATTTTGGAAGGAAAATTTCAAGATTTCTAGCAGTTTCTGTGGAATAATCTTGATTTCATCCCTGCTAAATTATGAAGACAAGTAATGTAAGAGCTTTGTTTAGAAAAGCTGAGATGGTGGCCAAATTGCTTGAGGAAACATGAAAAGATTAATGATTGAGTTCTGCCTGGCTCCTGGATTCTCACTTCCTGATCAGTGTAGCTGAGACATATCACAAAGATGACACATATTGACTGTAGGGAGAGAGTAGCAATTATTTGCCTTGTTACTTTCTATGTCAGGCAATAATAGAGCAATACTGTGCCAGTTAAAAGAAGAAATTTCCAGCTTATCTGTCCTTCAGCTTCAAGGACTGTTGTACATACTTCTACTGGAGGGGCAGATTAGGACCTTGCTGCAAAGAATAAAAATCTCAATCTTCTGCTGAATTCTATTTTGCAGCAAGACAAAATACAAGGAAGTATAAATAGTTTGCACTTTCTGTATTAATGCCCACTCAGGGAAGTGAATCTGGAGCTGTGAATCGCCAGCTCCAGAAAAATTATTTTGACGCTGTTGTGTAGTCTTTCTCCCACAAGATAGAACACTGTTGCTTAATGCTATTTCAGTCATTCGGAAATGTTTCTACATGTTGCCTTTTTTTTCTTATTTGTTTCACAGATATATTTGCGATTCTTGGACTATGAGATGCAGAATTCCAATGAATGCAAAAGAAATTTTGTAGCTGTCTATGATGGAAGTAGCTCTGTGGAGGATTTAAAAGCAAAGTTTTGCAGCACTGTTGCAAATGATGTAATGCTGCGGACAGGTCTTGGAGTAATCCGTATGTGGGCAGATGAAGGCAGTCGAAGCAGCCGATTCCAGATGCTCTTCACATCTTTCCAAGAACGTAAGATCTTAATCGATGTGTCTGCCTTTCAGTTTGTTAAATGATACCAGTCCCACAAACTGCTAATGTTTTCTTCATGCAGAGTATACACCAAAGGATGCTCCTGAACAAGCTCTGTGAATCAACAGAACAGATTTAATTCTATGTATTTTTTATACTGCACAATAATTTGTAACACAGTAGGTAGAGCACAGGATTCAGAGGCAGGCAGGCAAGTACAGCTTGTCACTATAAACATAACTTTTTCCTGACTCCCAATCCACTGGGCTACTCTGTTTTCTCTTACATGATTGGAAAACAGTACAACTCTGAATGTTTTTATCGAGTCTCATTGTTTTTATGAATGTGATTTTTTAGATCTTACAGTAATGGTACTTGAAAAACACTGTATGATTATTTTATAATAGGTGATGGGTACATTTGTTCATATACCAGAATTTCAACAAATGTGTATCATACAGTGTTAAGCAAATAATGAAGAATTGGTAGTTTTAATATTCTCTCTATGCAGCTTTCATTCATGCATCTATATGATTTCTGTGCTCATGTAGCAGGAAAGACAGCCTGTGAAAAAAACAAAAGGTACTTCTTGCCAGTCTGAAAAACACAAAACCCAATGATCCCATTCACTGAAAATGATTAATTCAGTTAATCACCTGTGAAAGATATTGCTTTGTTTTCTTTAATGTAAAAATGCACATATGGTCCCTTGAGGAAGGAGTGTATGTATTTGTTTTCTTGTTCTGATTCATGTTCATTTTTAACTTATTTTTTGGCTTGTGTTTCACATTTTTCACAGGAAGATTTCTATGTGACTGTCAGTGATTGAAATGAAGGTGCAATCCTACCAAGCATATCCTTCATCTGTATTCTGTGTGTGTATACCCCGCAATGAGACTGTTGAGAGCAGCCTCCGTAATTCTTTAATTATGGCACTGATTAAAAATTTCTGGCAGTTTACATGCTTGAAACTGCATATGCCACTGTACTTGCACACTACAGCCTTAGGGTAGATTATTTTTTTTTTTTTGTATCTAAATCAGACCATGGTCTATAAGAGGCCAGAGACCTCAGTTGAGATGACATTGCCCTTTTCTCATTTCAGCAACTGGAGATGTCTTGAATATTCAAGATCTGACTCTTTTTTTTTTTTTCTTTTTTTTTTCACAAGACACCCTGATCTGTTACCTTAGAAACAACTGCATAGACACTGGAGGTTCAGAGCATAAAGACAAGTAAAGAATGAAGCACTGTGATGACTAACTTGAGATGAGGGTTTGAATAAGTGTGGGTTTACAAGATTTCCTCATTTTAAAGAAAAAGAAGAAAATATTTTGTTAGGTTTTATTTTTGTTTTTGTTTATTTTTCCTCCAATAACATTCCTAATACTACATATTATAAACTCCTTTGTTCTTGTAAACAGCTAATGTTTTATAATGGATGATATTCTGACTGGGAGGTTGAAAATAATAACATGATGTGCCTTCCGTAAATTTATTCTGAACAGGTGTTGCAGACACAAAGCTGAAAATTTATAAAGGGCTAAATTTTGCTTTGAGATATGTGTACACAGCCTGATCATAAATATTAGAAGAAACTGCATCTGTGTTTTTAATGCTGGAAGCTGACTTAAAAGATATAAAGGTTACACTGACTGTACTCTTTGTGCCATGTTAGCTGTGCGTACTGCTGCCCCATACTGCAGATTTGTACTGGCTGTGCAAAGTCAGATTGAGCAGATGCCCAGTCTGTGCGTGGTGTGATGCAACACATAGTCTAAGTCTTTCATAGTGTGTGGGAATAATTAGATCATCTGCATGGAAGAGGAGGAATGTCAGATCTCATTCAGGGAGATAAGTATCAGGAAACAGACACCTGTGTCTCTATGCACAGAAAAGGAAAGAAGAAAAAAAAAGCTTTTTTTCACTCAGAGCTGTGGAAAAAAAATAAAAAATCGAGGATGACTTTTTTGTCATGGTTAACTTGCATGTAAAAGAGTGACAAAGTGTTTTATTGACTGTTCCTGTGGGAATCACCAAGTGATGCTGTTATACGGTGCTCCTCGAGTTCTCTGGTGTATGGAGTTGCTGACTGTAGAGTTAAGTTGTTGAGACTGTGAGCTCTCTGTTAGGCAAGGCTCCATGAATGTTGTCTTTCTGAGTCTGTTCATTGTTAATTTTTGTTACAGTGCTGTTTTTGGGGAATTTACATTTGTGCAGAAAGAAGAAATCTTAAAGAGATTTCTTAAATGATTATTTTCATACTATTTCATCAGTGTGCTCCAATCATATTGTAAATATATACGTGTCTGCTTTTTTTTGGCTTCTGAAAAGTGGTCTTACAAATTTCCAAACCCTTAATGGTGATGCTCTGCAGAACAGCAGTGCTATTAATATGTTTCAAGGAAGAACAGGCATGAGATGCAATAATTTGTAAAGTTTACTACTCCAGAAAATCAGTAGTGATTCTCACATCATCAAAATTTTAGTAGAGCTCTAAGTAACATTTAATAAAAAATATAGCTAATATTGTAGAGTGATGATCTAATAGTTTATGGTCAGTATTATCAGCTATTCCAAATATCATTGGATTTTATCTGTTTAAGTCCTTACCTTTTCAATCTTTTATATGCCCTATTAGCACATACATTTATGTCATATTTTTTTTTTAATGGCCTAAAATAGATTTCAAACATCAAATTAAGTTAAGAGGCAGAAAAAGGAGAGGGGGGGTGGGGGTGGGGGGGGAACAACAAAAAAAACCTTGTATCATCAAAAGGTTTATGGACTTTGGTATATGGTGGCATTGAGTGACATGGTTTAGTGGATGTAGGGGTGATGGTTTGGCATTTGGGGTAATCTTAGTGATGTTTTCCAATCTTAAGGATTCTGTGATTCTGTATGTTCATCTGGTAAGAAGACTAGAAAAATGAATCTTTGTTTTTTCACCCACTAGCTGTTCATTTCATTTTCCATTACTGTGATGTAGATTAATGACAGACATGCTACACCTACAGCTTCTTCACAGAGGTGCTTCTGAGCAGACACACCTACACTTTAACCTAAAAGCAGATTTGTAAAACCAGGGCATAAGGGATAAAAGAAAATCCTTTTATATGCAGAACAAATATGATGCTTATTCTCTCACCTCTGACAGCTGTTTGGTGGCATTGCTTGTCTCTATATCCATAAGTCTGCTTCAGAAACCTCACATCAGAAAAAATATCATTTCTCTTATTTTCTTGCTGCTTTGAGCTTTAAGACTGTTTTAAAGGCTCTGTCACATGTAACTTTCTTAAAGGAGCATAAACTCTATCATTAAAACTTTATTAACAAAACCTATATTTATGTAGAAATCTAGAGCCATCTTTAGAAGAGTACTACACAGATTTATAGAGTAAGAGCAGTCAAATCCTTATTTGCAGACAGAATCCTTGAGTACGATCATCTCAGCATGAGCAGTTAGAGAATAGGGAGAGGGCACTGCGGGTATTTGGTATTAATGGCTGTGTTTATTGTGATAATGCAAAAGGAACACTGAGAAAGGGAACAGAAATACAATAAGTGCAATGCATGCAAAGAAATAGTTTCCACTTGGGAGGACTTAGAGGCGTAAATAGATTACAGCCTTGCTGGTTTTCTCCCTGCTTCCACACTGATATATAAAAAAAGAAATCATTGGGATTACCTCCTCAGTAATGAGCACTCATCTGTGATTTTCAGTCTCTCTATACTATCTTAAACTGTCTGTAGTTCACTAACCCCCACCGGTTAAGCTTCCCAATGGTTTTCTGCCCCTGAACAAAACAGGTGTTTGTGGTGTCTGCAGTGTATAACTGTGCTGAATGGAGTTCTGAGCAAATGCTTCTGAGCTGCCAATCTCTAATGGACTCATATTGACATGTGTCTGATATTAACTCTCAGAAAAGGTTACTTTTATTTGGAGCAGAGCTGTCTGAGAAAGAAAATTCAGAATTAAAGGCATTTCATTTATTTTCAAGCTCCTAATAGACGCATTTTAATAAATTGTCTTTTTTTTTTTTTTTTTTTTTTTTTTTTTTTTTTTCCATTTGTGGGAAATGAAAAAGTAGTTCTAAAGTCAACTGGATTTTATAATTTTAATAAAATAAGTGAACCCATCTATCAGTATGGCTGATGGACTTTTCCCTGGGGTTGCTGAGAGACAAGTTCCTCTGTTTCCAGGATGATATGAGGAACATCTGAAGACTTTGGTTTTTCTTTCTCTTGTGAGGAAAAGAAAGCTCTATTTTTCAGTGAAGAGCAATAGGAAATTCTAAATGATCTATGCCTAAAGAATTGATGTGCAGAGCATGATGCAATGAGCTATCTTGAGAACATTAGGAGTAGGTGTGAAATGTGTAATGAGTTCAGCGGAAAATATTTTTCACATCTAACCATTATTCAGATTTCAGAATTTTCTCATTTGCCCTCAGGAGACGGCAAGACCTCTAAAAAATGTTATGACAGGAATGGAAGAGAGGAAACCTGTAAATAGTAAGTAGGATAAAGCATTCATCTAAGATTACAGAGTCCTGGATTGAAAACCCTATTCTGAAACAGTCTCAAAGGATAAATTCTTAAGTTTCAATTAAATAAGATGTAGACACCCAAGATAGCTTGCTCAGAGCTACTGCACAATGTAGAAATAATGGAGTTAAAACTAGCTCCATACGGTGCTGAGAAATAGTGTAAATACACTGTGGAAAGCACTGCACCGGACCAGGCAGGCATTACACCGGATAGGTAAGAAGTCAGCTTTTGATTTCGTTATGTAAAAATACTTTGACCCCACTATGTCTACATTTTATACCCAAAGTATCCTGTAACTCCTCTAAAGATCATGCTCAACACACAGATAACGTATTTTGTTACTTTTAAACTACTGTATCTCTATACTATAGTATTATAGTATAGTGCTTTTATTACTATTGCTCTATACTATAACAATTATTAATAGCACAAAGAATATGTTATAGTCC